TGGCCAATTTTATGTCATGTGTATTTAACTGTAGAATAAATAAATAAGTAAATGATGGGGGGAAAAGCTCCCTTCTTATAGCTATTACTTTAATCTAAGGATTGCTGGGAACTTCTGTTCTGATGCTAGGCCCTTCCTAACAGACTAGATTAGAATGGAATCTTGACAGTAATACCGGCAAGTACACACAGAAACAATTATCTACCAAATGTGTAAGTAAGGGACAGTGCTATTTTCACTTAACAAATACTGAGTGCCTACTACATATACCATGTATACACACAGAGAGTGAAAACAAAGTAAAAGTTGGTAAATTTCCTAAAAAAAAAAAATGTAGAACAGATGAAAAGTGGGAAGGTATTTGGGGACTGCGGGATTGTAGGAACAGCTTCTTCCAGGCTATGGTAGATAACTAATGAAGAAAGTTATAGAAAAAGAAGGTTCTGAATTTGGTGTATTTTCTCTCAGTTGGGCCTTTGCTGGAAGTACATGATCTCCAACAGGATATATATATTTGACGGCATTCCCTTGACCATTACCTTAGACCAGAGCCACTTTGCCCTTTCCACATACAGTTCGGCAAGTCGTGATTCTCCTGCATTAAGGAGAGCATTGTAGGCTGTTTGGTGGTGACCAGCCTTTCTAGCTACTCTGGCACTCTGTAGCCAGCATTCTCCAACCATTTCATTGTAATCTGGCCTAAAGGAAAGTAACAAAACAGAGGGAGAAAAGAGTATTTGTAAGCATAATTAACAACTTTTTCTTTTCTTTTCTTTCTTTTTTTTTTGTGGCTGGCTGGTACGTGGTTCCAAACCCATGACTTTACAAGGCTGCGCTCTAACCAACTGAGCTAATCGGCCAGCTCTCAGCAACTTAACTAAAATATTTCTTCCCAACATAGAACCTTCTTGATATACCATTTCAAAGGAATCAATGACTAATTTGGTTTAAAAATCCTACTTTTAATGTTCCTATAGTGCTCCATTTTTATCTAAGTCTATGAAGACTTTATTCTTGACTTATATCAGTACCTCCCCTAATATGTTTTTAACATTTTTTAAAAAGATAAATGGCATATAAAAGTGATTCTTAAGTTTTAGTTCATTTCAACTACACAGTATAGTCCTGACAATTGAAAACAGAAAAATATAGATTCAGACAGAAAATTAAGAAATACAAACACTCCCAAATATAACCAAATATAATACTAAACTTAAGATAACTGACATAAAAAGAAAAGTAGTATGAAAAAACCTTTTGTTGAGGCTTAACAAAGCCCTCCGGAGAGCCAGGATGGGCTCCTTGGCTCTGTAGGAATTCTGGGTCATTTCTAGTCGAGCTACCCAGTTTAGAGAATCTTCATGAGAACTGTCACCTAGAGACTGGTGAAAAAGTGGTTTGATGCTATGTTCCAATTCACACAACATATGCAATCTGAAAATAGATACAGCCTCTGTTAAAATGTTATCCCATCCTGGCTAATTCATCTCATATATAAAGCATGTACTTTAAATCAGCCATGAAGAATCTAAAATGTGCAGTTTTCTTTGGTAGAACTTTAATATACATTCTTGATACATAAACAGTAGCATGTATATCTTTTCAAATTGGAGGTAAACACCAATTTATGCTGGTTTAAACATTTAGTACTTTGTTGTGATCCCCAAATTCCTATGAAATAAATGAAAGAAGGGTATATAAAACTAAATTCAAATCCACGAAAATCAAACTTTGCCATCTATATAAAGATTTAAGAAAATATGGATCCATGTGTACAATCAATATGTGTCAATTCAAAAATAAATTAATTTTAGGCTGGCTGGTTAGTTGACTCGATTAGACAGTGGTGCTGATAACACCAAGGAGAAGGGGTTGTACACCTGTATTGGCCAGCTGTCAAAAAATAAATAAATGAATAAAAATTAGTTAAATAATTTAAAAAAAAAAAATATGGATCCATTATAAACAAACATGAAATATTTGCATATATTGCTGATGCTACTATCAGAGGGCCTAGCATAGTTGATGCTAGTAAAAATTGTGAAATGAATGCAGTTTTAATTTTTTTTTTTCTAAGAATGACAGAAACCATAATACATTCACACTAGCTTTCCCCTCCTTGTATAACAATCAGTTTCTATAACTCAGCGTTCAAGGCACAAGGATATAGTTGAGTAGCTACAAAATAGAATTAAACTCAGTGGTCCAATCTCTGATTTCATTAAGACGTTCCCAAAGGGGCTTATATAAAAATACAGTGAATTCCTCTAACGTAAAAAAAGCTGCTTAATTTTTTTTTTTTTCCTTTTTTGTCTTTTTTCGTGTCCGGCAACGGATCGCAACCCTCAGTGTCGCGCCCGCACCGGACCGGCAACGGGATCACAACCCTCGGCGCTGCGCCCGCACCTCGCTCAGCCAGTGAGCGGAACCGGTTTGCATGTGGGATCCGAACCCTCGGCGGGAGCGCCACCACGCTCCCAAGCGGAGCACTGCAGCAGTGCGCCACCAGGCCGGCCCAAAAAACTGCTTAATTTTTTAAAAGATAATTATCTTTTAAATATATTATAGTTCAATTACAATACTTATTTTGTCATTTTTCCTCAGGTGAATTAATAGACCTAAATGCTTTCCATCATTTTTTTCCTCACATCATCTTTAATATTCTTTTAATGTTCTTAATATTCTTTTCTGGTGATGTAATACCTATACGCCAGGTACAACAGATGTCTAGATTATTTACATTAGTTACATAGAAAGTAAACTATGATACTATAAGAGAACAAATATATTTTTCTTATGTTTTTATTAGTCTCATAATTACCTTTCCAATTGAAAGATGTATGTTAGAATATTTTTTTAAAAACTATAGGGTGATTGTGAGGTAAAAAGAATGAGAGTCATTTTGTGTAGCTACACATGATACCAATCATACTATCAGAATTATTTACTCATCAAAAATTTCCAATCCTGGGCCGGCCCGGTGGCGCGCTGGATAGTGCACTGCTTGGGAAGCGCGACGGCGCTCCCGCCCGAGGGTTCAGATCCCACATACAGACCGGTTCCCGCTCACTGGCTGAGCGAGGCGCGGGAGCAACACCGAGGGTTGCGATCCCGTTGCCAGTCCCCGGTCCGGTACGGGGGCAACACTGAGGGTTGCGATCCATTGCCGGACACGGAAAAAGACAAAAGACAAAAGACAAAAAAAAAAAAATTTCCAATCCTGTCAGGTGACATTTATAGACTAGAAATATAACAATGGAAATCCCCTAATACCTCACAATATATTCATATCCTCGTTGGTAAGAGCCTCTTTCAAAGCTTGCAGCTGAAAGAGGTACAATTTGTTCTGCTCTCACTAGTTTCAGTGTGTCATAAAAAGCTGTGATATCTTTCTTTTTGGCTGATAATAACAGCTGTCCCAGTCTGACACTCCATGTTGTAGATTTTCCATCTGAAAAACAAATGAAGAGTCAAGAAATGTCATGTAAGCTGGGTCCAGAAACCAGTTTTATTTCATTTGATAAAATGGCCAACAGAAATATTGAACAGATGGCTTCATTCTACTTTGAACAACTAAACAAGGCAATCATAAAACAGGCTAATGAATTAATTATGAATGTTGCTGAGCTACTTAAGTCGGAATATTTATGGCATATTAAAACTGCTCATATTTTAAGAAGCAATTTTACCTGCTGCCAAATAGTTTTCCACCAAATCCCACTGTGACAATTTCCAAGCTGCTTCCACTCTGTATGTGTTTAATTCATCTGTCCATTCAGACCTATTGAAAAAACCCACATCAATTAAACTTTAATTTATTTAAAGTGTTAGAGATTTTTCATTGGTTTAGATACTCTATTGTACTTATTTATTGTTCTATTTAATGTATTTGTATCGTATTATATTTTGTACTTAGATACAAAGTAGTTATCTCTAACACACATGAATTCAGAGGTAAGCAATTCCAATAACTTAGGGTTTTGAATTAAAGTTAAGACAAACATATAGGGGCTGGTGGTGAGAGTCAGGGGCAGTTGAGAGGTCCATAGGACACTTAATACCAAGAGCATAAGAAAGTTACAAATGACAGTCAATGGCATAACAAAGTATTCAAAACTAGCTCCCCCAAAATACACCTATTCTTAAACTATTTTTAAATAGTTACTTTAAAATTTGAGTTTGCAAAAGCAGTGCAAAATAGGCTAATTTCTTTTCTAAGCATTCTACCTAGGTGACATTAGAAGCAGTTAAGACTTTCTTCATGTTTCTTTATTAACCATACCATCTGAATACCTGATATGTGCTAGATACTAAGTTAGATACATTTTTCCATTTAATTATCTAATGACACTGCATATAGCACATGTATATCCATAGTATAAAAAGGGTAACAGACTCAGAGAGAGTGGGATCAATATCCTTAAAAGTCCTCCTTGCTCTTTCTACAGTAAAAATACATAATGAAAATATAACAAATAAAACAATCAATTTTCACTTTTTAAAAAATCTAAAAATAGCAGCATAAATATTGAGTATGCTTCAATTTCTAAATATGAACACCACCAGAAACAATTTAGAACAAGACTAAATGAAAAACAACAGAAATGAAATTTTCAAAAGTCCAACTTTGAATGACTTTACAAGCTTTACATCGGATACCAGCATATCAAAATTTCAAGATAAAAACCTGAGTAGAATTAGCTATCCAGAGGGTATGTGTCTTATCAAGCCATATACCGAAAATTACCAAATGGCAATGATGATCTGTCTGTGAGAACTTACCCACATAAATAAATACATTATAAAGAATGGTGTGTAGGTCAATCATAATCAATATTTTTGGAGAAATATTTATTTAAATGCAAATAGAGATATTCCCCAAGGAAAACATGTCCCTCAGTGAACATTTGCTTCACAATGACACAGCATCCCTTCATTGATTACTGACACAAGTGCTATGGGTCAAACATGTCCACCAAAAGTTCATGTATTGGAAGCTTAATCTCCATTGTAACAGTGTTAAGAGGATGGGAAATCTTATTATGGTAATTGAAAGGTGGGGCCTTTAAGAGGTGATTAGATTGTGAGGACTGTACCCTCATCAATGGATCAATCCAGTGATGGTTTAATGGGTGGTCCTGGGTGTGGTTCTGATGAATTTAAAAGAAGAGCAAGTGAGGAGGTTAGCTCTCTTGCTCGACCCATTCATCATGGGGCACCCAATTTCACTGTAAGGAGTTTCCAGTGGGCTGGCTGGTTACACCACCAAGGTCAAGGGTTTGGATCTCAGTACTGGCCAGCCATCAAAAAAAAAAAAAAAGTTTCCATGAAGAACAAGGCCTTGACCAGATGCACCCCCTGG